CACCGGCACCGGCACATCCACACCGGCACCGGCACATCCACACCGGCACTGCGACAATAGATCCTCCCTTGCTGCCTCCTGCAACAGGAATGCCACCCATTCCTTCTGCCATCCTAATTGCAGCATTCATCCCATTTTCCTCCACTGCATTCTATGACGAACAAGAATTATCACCACTCAACTTCCAGAGGCTAAAATAGCCCGTTGGTATATTTTGCATACTTTTATTCTCTCAAGTATTAAAACTCAGACATTGCCCTATGACAAATGTCATAAGAGCAGTAAATAGCAAAATTTTAGTCTCTTGGCAAACTTGCAACAAGTCAAGTGCACCAACATATCTGCACAGTCAGTACCAGCAGAGCCTTCCAGAGGAGACCAGCAATTCCAGCCAGGCACCCTGAGGGTCTCACCTGGCAGGAACCCCAGGGCTCCTCTCTGGGGACACAGAGAAGGGTCAGAGCAGCCCTGACCACACTCGGTGTTTGGGGAAGGAGATTTCCCTCAGCCAGCCCCTGCCTGGCCCCAGCAGCCTGGGGGCCGTGCCCAGCACAGCTCCCAGACCCTGTGCACCCTTCTGCCCCACAGGGACACCCACAGCAGCTTTCCCACTGCATCACACCAGCATGGACAGCACTGCACGTTCCACCACTACCAACATTCCGACCACATTAGAGAGAAAAGCTTAAAATAAGATTCTTCTTTTAGCACACTCAGCACAATTGGCAAGGGTTGTGGTGTGTGTTGTTCTTCCTCCTTCTCCAGCTTCCTCCTAACATCAGAGGTATCATCCAGCGAGATCACCTCCCCTGATTAATTCCATTTTGCAGCTCAAAAAAGATTTCTGGTGATAGTGACCACTGCCACCACTTCCTGGCCCAGTAACTGTATCGCATATTTATTAAACAGCTGCAGTAGTTTCCATAAATACCTAAAATGTGTACTTGGAACTACACAACCTCTGGTAAATCCAGGGTAAATAAATAAATAAAACAACTTATAAATATTATTCTCATGTTCAGTAAAGCAGGGTGAACTTTGAAACTTGACAGCTGTGTCACAGAAGTCAAGAATTGCCTTAATGCTACTGTGGAAGTGCCACAGGGGACAGCACAAGAGTCTGACCTCAGAAGGGACCGAGCATTTCTAATGATTTATGCAGCTTGTCTTTTGTGTGCCGTGCCAAGACAACATCATTTGCATGCTGAGAAAGTTCAGAACTTTTTTATATTTTACCCAACCAATCTTGGTCGTGGGGTGAATCAAGTTTGCTGGCTTTGCACAGCTAGCTGAGGTTATTCACACAGAACCAATGAACTTTATGCTGGCCCGAGCATTCCAACAAGAACAGCTGCTGGAGCCCCAAAGGCTGTGTGCACCCCTCCCAAACACTGACACTGACACATCCCTGTGCCCACAGGTGACACGGGACAGGCCAGGGAGGTGACAGAGCTTGCTGCCAGTGCTGCCCTATCCACAGCTGTAGGACAAGACCCTCCACAAGGAGCCGAGTGAGAGAAGGTGACACAAAGAAAAACCAGCTAAAAGTGACCATGAGCACAGAGCTGTGATGCTCAGCAGGGGGACACAGGAGCCTCCAGCCTTACCTGTGCAGGGACAGCATTCAGCTTGAACATGACTGCCCCAAGTCTGTCCCTACCCCTCTCTGAAGCTCTGCTGAGAGGTCTGGAGCCATGGCTGAGCAGAGCTCAGTGCTGAGCTGCAGGACCCCTCAGTGTTCCCTGCCAGGACACAGGACTGTGCCTTTGTCTCTCCCACAGGTGTCCCAGCCAGAGCAGAGGCCCCGTGCCCGGGAATGGGCAGAGCTCAGCAGAACACCACAGCAGGCAGCTGAGGAGAGGTAAGGACATGCCAGTGGCAGGGAAAGATGTGCAGAGTCCTGTGGCTCCCTCTCAGTGACAGACAGTTGATAAATCCGCTGGTATCAAATGCAGAATTTGTATAGGGTGTGCTCTGTGCTGCACAGACACAAGGGACTTTACAAAGATTTGATGTCCACATCTCCAGTCTCGCAGTTCTGAAATAATCCTTTGTTGTATGATGCTTCATACACAAAACATGCATCATGAACTTCTAAACAATTTAATACCTGCCCCCAAGCCCAAGCACAGAAAGACTCACCTGTGGGTTCTTGGCTGTAGAAAACCCCACAGAGAAGGAACAAGTTCTGAACATACCATGTGCAGAGAGAGGGTCCTGCTGAGACAGCCTGGAGGGAGAAAGTGAACGGGGAAACAGCAGAAGAGAACATTTTTTTAATCCAATGTGTTACTATTTAAATTAAAATGCCATTTGCTATTAGTGCCTTTCCAGAAGATGCTTCTAATTTCAGCTCTCTCACCCCAAGCTCTACCCACAAACCTCCCAGCTCTAACACACTTGTCCATGTGGGAGTTTAATACCTACTCTCCAAACCTTCTCTTTCTTTTAAAACCCCAGCCAAACAAAAACAAATGCCTTGCTGACTAGAGCTGAAACACAAAGTCAGGATGGCTGCTGCTCTGGGATAATGGCCAGGAGGAGGTTAAATACAGGCTTTGGGTGTGCACAGGGTAACAGAGCCACCCCATGCCCCTCTCATCCATGCAGCTTCCAGAACACACCTAAGCTGGTCAGCCTTTGCACCATCTGCAAGAGGTGCAGGAAACAATACACCAAAGGAGACCTTTTTAGCTATTTGAGAACAAATGTCCATTTCTAGCTATTGCAATGGTGCATTCAGGCTCCAGCCTGCTCCACAGAGACATCAGCTACTGACTCAGAATGGGGATAAAAGGAAATTCTTTATTTTCTAAAAGACAAGGTGGGTTTTTTCCCAGCTCCAAGGCACATATTTTCCAGTTGCCTAGGGTTTCACTTGCCAAATACAGCAGCATTATATTTATATCTATATTTGTTCTGCCCTCCCTACAGAGGATAATCCACCCCCACAAACATTCTGGCAAAGAAAAGAAGACAGCAGATGTGATTTCTTCTTGGAGATCCTTTAAAATTTACATCTGACTGACTTGAGAAGGCAGCTCAAGCTCCCACGTGGCAAACTAACACACAGACACACTCCTGTGTGCTGGGCTGCTGCACGTTTAAAGCAAACTCTTTAAGCCAGCTGCACTTGTGAGTTCCTTGCAAGGGAACACTGGGATAAATTACCATATGCTGGGTGTCTGCTCACTTCACCAACAGAAGAGGAACTTTTATAGAACATTTTGACCAGGAATATTCACATCACTGACGTTTCATGGTAAAGCAGTGTTAAAAATGCCAGTCCTTAGGACATCTCGCTGAGCCTGAGTCAGCAGCTGGCTGTGGGTCAGTCCCAGCTCACAGCACGTGGGCTCATGCCTGCGGGAAAGGGGCAGCCCTGGCCGGAGGGCAACAGGTTAAAGTCAAACAGAGAAGCAAATGGATCCTCTGCTCAAAGCAACAACATCCCTGGAACATCACCAGAAAGGGAGATGGCCCCACTCAGGAAATTCCCTGCATTCCCTGCTGGGAATGATGAGGAGTGGGAACGTGGCCATTTCTGAGAAGCACTGAGTTCATTTGGAAGAGAGGGCAATTAGTAATCGAGTAATTAGCGGAAATCCCAGCACCACCCTGTCCCACTGAGCTCCTTTTTTCTCTGCTTCTAGGAATGCAGATACCACAAGATGCTCAACTCCAGCAGCAACTCCTCAGGGAGCAACTGCAGCCACAGCACAGTGATCACCACCACGGTCATCCCCCTGCTCTACTGCCTCATCTTCCTCGCTGGGCTCTCTCTCAACGCCCTGGCAGCCTGGGTCTTCCTCCACGTTCCCAGCACTAAGAGTTTCATTGTCTATCTCAAGAACATCGCTGTGGCTGATCTCCTCATGAGCCTGACCTTTCCTTTCAAAATCCTGGCTGATTCCGAAATTGCACCCCCAGAGCTGAACCTGTTTGTGTGCAGATACTCAGCAGTTGTGTTCTACATGAACATGTACATTGGCATCTCCTTCTTCGGCCTCATAGGCTTTGACAGGTACTACAAAATCGTGAAGCCTTTGTTCACCTCCTTTGTTCACACAGTTAACTACAGCAAGGTGGTCTCTGTCATCATATGGCTCTTACTGATGGTTATGTCATTCCCAAATATGATTTTGACTAATGAAATCACTAAAGACTCCACGAAATGTATAGGTCTTAAAAGCGAGCTTGGCAGACAGTGGCACAAAGCAACAACCTATATTTGCACAGGGATTTTCTGGATTGTTTTTTTCCTGCTAATCGTATTTTACACTTCTATATCCAAAAAAATATACAGCTCTTACAAAAAATTCCGGAGGAGCTCAGACATGGCCAAGAGAAAAACCAGCCGGAACATATTCACCATCATGTTTGTGTTTGTCATCTGCTTTGTGCCCTACCACCTCTGCAGGACCCCGTACACCCTGAGCCAGACCAGCTCCCACTTCAGCTGCCAGTCCCAAAAATCGCTGTTCTACGCCAAGGAGTTCACTCTGGTGCTGTCTGCTGCAAACGTCTGCCTCGATCCTATTATTTATTTTTTCCTCTGCCTCCCCTTTAGAGAAAAGCTGTATCAAAAACTGCATCTCAAGCTGACAGCCTCAAGCGAGGCTGAAATTTCTAAATCCAGAAGATCAAATACGCTTCGGGAAAGTATAAACATAGTGTAGGTTTGTGTCTCTACAATAATGTACATTTCAGGAGCTATTGATGAACAAATGTCCCAAGGAAACTGAGCACACCACAGCCAGCAGCAAACAGGAGAGGGCTCAGCTCAGCACCAGGTGCTGCTTGTCTGTGTAAAGCCAGCATTGCATGTGCCAGTATATTCACTGTGCCTGAGGGCAGCAGGGTGTGCCCGGAGCCACCTGGACCCCACAGACGCAGAGGAGTTCCTGGAGCAGCCCATCCTGGAGTCCAGCCCTGAAAGGACCATCCAACAGACCCAAACCACACCAGCCTGCTTCCCTGGACTTACCTGAGCACAGACACCAAACTGCAGCACCTCCCTCACTGCTGGGGCAGAAGGAGCAAGAACATCATAGAACCATCTGGGAGCACACAAGTACAGCTGCCTAAAACTCTGTACACTTAAACCCACAAAGAATGGTTTGCTGGTTTTCCTGTGACTTTTATACAGCAGCAAAGCATTTCTGACTGTTATCAAGCTGAAAGCCACCAACCTGCTCTATACAAATATAATCTCTTCTATAGCTTTTTTTTTTTAATTGATTTTATTAATGTACAGGAAAAACATAGCAGGGCCTAAAGTACCTGCTAAAGCTTTCACACAGCAGCTCTGGAGCTGAATGTCTTCATTTTACTTAACAAAGAAGCCATAGGAACAGAAATAACAAGTCCTTCACCTTTCTGCCACTGCATTTCATTTTAGCCCAAACAGATTTAAGGGTGAAAAATGTTTAAACGTTTGGTCCTTGCACCTTCTCTAAGGCTGTGGATAACTTCTCTTGGTTTGAGACCACTGACATTCCACAGAATTGTACTGCAGCTAAAGGTCTGGACACCTCCACTGGGGTCACACGGAGATTTTGGAGCAAATTCATCTCTGTGCATTTCCCACCCACCAGCAGAGCAGCTCCAGCCTGATCCCAGTGAGCACCAGTTCCCCACCAGTGCCTGGGGCAGCCTGGTGTCACTCGGACTGTGGAAGCTGAACCTGCCCACAGGAGAAGGCTGTGTTCTGGCTGTGTTTGTTAAAGAAAATACATTAAAGATATTTATATGGTTCTTCCAGAGCTGCCTGACTCTGTCAAACTGAGGCTCTGCAGGCTCTGCCCTCCAAGCCAGGGAACCACCCTGCTGGGGAAGGGAATCTGGGGCTTTGTGGGAGATCTTTTATCATTTATGGCAAAAACATTCGGTTCCCTACATGGCAGGGCTTGGTATTTGCCTACATAAATTTACATAATTGCAGCTGTGAAAGATCGCTGGCATAGACAGATGAAAACATTTCCACAATGTAAATTGGAACAACTTCTTAATTGCTTTGCAAGCTTTGAAAAAATTATTTATATTGTGCAATTGTTTCACACCTCACCAGATTACTGATATTAGAACAAGAATCTACATGCAGGCACAGGGGAATGGATGGTGATCAAAATCTGTCTTCAAAAGGGATGCTACATTTCCAGCTTTTCATTCATGCCTAAAAAATCCTCCTCCAAGAGCTTCCCTAGTCAGGAAAGGTTCCATGGCCCTGGTCCTGCTGCAGTCCCACCCTGTGGGTGACAAGTCCCAGTAACACCAGTGTCACACCAAGCCTCTGACCCACCTGCTCAGCCTTGCCCCTCACTTTGCTGCATGAACTGAGGTCAATCTGTTTTCAGCACTGGGTAAATTAATCCTTTCACATCTTTCCCAGCAGATACCCCAAGGCAGCTCCTCACACACTCAGGGAATGAACATTCCAGTACCAATTATTATTACCACATCCCAATACCAATTATTATTACCATATCCCAATACCTGCTCTCTGGAAGGGCAAACCATGATGCAGTAAAGGTTTACTGAACCACCACTTCGTCTTTTTAGACCTGGAAAAGTTCCCTGAGCTGTAACCTGACCCTACAGAAAAGGAGAAACTGACTGGCAGAGATACACAGACAGAAACAGCAGTGCTGCAGTCTGGGTTTTAAAAGCCCTACAAGTATAGGAAGATCAGCTGTGCATGAGCCCAGCACTAGAAAATGAATCAATGTTTGCTCACTGCTGGACACAGGATCACTCCAGATTATGAAGCTTTGCAAATGTTTTGACAAATATGGTCTGAACTTTCAGTTTATGACTAAACCTAAAACCAGACATTCTTCATCTGTTCCTCCACAAAGCTCTAGTGCACGGTTTATAAATTCCTGTGGACTCTCAACTACAACCAAGGGCCACCAGCTGGAGTTTCAGCTTTGCTGTCAGTACCTCACCCCCAGCATGGTGTCAGATCTTTTCTCATGGTTTCCCAAAACAAACAAACAAAACAAAAAATAGATTTCCCTGACTTCCCTGGTGTGCAATTTGAATTTTTAATAGTGCTTTGAAAATATCCAAAGATTTATAATTCATTCATTGCAATCAGCAGAATCCCTAGGTGTCTTCAAAGCTGCCAGCTAAGGTGTAACTCTAAAACAAGAATCGAGATTCTTACAACCTAGAATTTCATGCAGGAGTATTAAAATGAACGAGGACCAACTACATTGCAGAATCCTGATTTCAGATAGATTTTAAATGTGAGCTACATGCAAGGAAGGGGGGGAAAGGGTTTCAGACCTATGGAAACAAAAGCAAAGGAAGAGCCACTGATGTCACGCAGCCACAGCCCCCTCATGCCCCTCCCCAGGAGCAGGAAAGGGCGCTGGGTGCTCCCTGAGCACTTTTTTCTCTCTGTCACTCTCCTTTTGGGTAACTTCCACGTGATGCAGCTCTTTGAAGGCTGAGTTGAAGTGCGTCAATCGGCTCATCTGGAAACCACAGCCACGTTTGCAGCCCCAGCAGAAGGTCACACACAGCGGGTGGGACAGCAGTCCCTGGGGACAGCAGAGCTCGGCAGAGGATGCTCAGAGGACCCCGGGCCACCAGCACAGGTAGGTGGCTCCAGCCTCTGTCTGTCACAGCCTGTTTAGATCTCCATGAAGGTACAGCCCGAAATCTTTTGGGAAACCACCGTGGGAGTGGCACAGCCAGTGCCAGTGTCACTGGTCACAGCCCTTGGGACTGGGTGTGCTGGGTCCCCCTGCCCACGAGGGATGGGGACAAGCTGGGCCCAGGGAGCAGTATTAGATGTGCAGTAGTTCTCTTACATTGTATAAAATAATTCTGTACAATATATAGAAACAGAAGTCTTGCAGTCTGATGGCACTCAAGACATCAACGTGTTGGTTCCAAGGAATTCAAGGGAACAGCCTTTCCTGTAGCCAACAAACAAAAAAACCCTCAGTCTTCGAGGGGTATTTAGTTAAATTAGGACCAAAATTTTCCACTTTTCTACTGAAGCCTACAAAGAAAGTGAGCAAAATTATTCATTATCTGCCTCTTTCAAAACGTGCTTTTTCTAATGGCTTCATAAAAATACAGTTAATTCATTCTGTGTTCAAGTAGGAATGGAGAGCAGTTTGCAAGCCTTAGAACTGATGCTCACCCATCTGACATATCTGTATATTGTATATTGTATATTGGCTGGACAGTGCATTCCCTCAGAACTCCCAACACATCTTGACAGAACAGGGATGCTACAAATACTACTTTTTTCATTAAAAAAAAAGCTAGCTTCAATCCTTCAAAGGTTAGGATGTTTTCATATGATCGTTATTAACCAGATGCTTAAATAGATTCAGACTTTTTCTCTAGCGTTTTGGCTGGAGGACAGTGTTGAACCAAACACTGTCACAAAAGCTGCTGCAGTGGAAATGCTGCTCAGAAGGCTCTGTGCTTTAAGAACCAAATCCTAATTCTGATTCCTAATTCCTAATTCTTCCAGCATGAGAACCAAGCCCTCCTGAATATTTGGGAAGCAGCATGAAGAGAGAGAAAAACATTTCTTCCTAATTGTTTGGGGTTTTTTAAAATTAATCAAACAAAATTCTAAGAGAATAATTACTGCTGCTCAGGAAAGTCTGATGTCATTGATGTCCTTCCTCTTGGTTCTTTTTGTAGGTCCTTGATATCTCCTGTCAGCAAAGCCAACTCACACGAGGAGTTTACAATGTCAAGCAACATTTCTGAATGTCATCTCTATGAAGACATGGAACCTTTTACCTATTTTTACTACTTGATTTTTCTCGTGGGAATTATTGGAAGCTGTTTTGCTCTGTGGGCATTCACACAGAAGGACCAGAAGCAGAAGTCGATGAGCATCTACTTAATCAACCTCCTCACTGCAGACTTCTTGCTGACTTTGTCATTGCCAGTGAAGATTATTGTTGACCTGGGAATCGCGTCCTGGAATCTGAGAATATTCCACTGCCAAGTCACGGCCTGCTGCATCTACCTGAACATGTACCTGTCAATCACGTTCCTGGGGTTTGTGAGCATGGATCGCTGCCTGAAGCTGATGCACAGCTCCAGGATCTACCGCATCCAGGAGCCCGGCTTTGCCAAGACGCTGTGCGCGGCCGTGTGGCTCATGGTGCTCCTGGTGACCGTGCCCAACATGGCCATTCCCATAAAGCACGTCGAGGAAAGGCCCGGCGTGGGCTGCATCGACTTCAAGACGAAACTGGGGCGAGACTGGCACGTGTTCACCAACTTCATCTGCACGGCGCTGTTCCTGAACGTGTCGGCCGTGCTGCTGCTCTCCATCGCGCTGGTGGCCCGGCAGCTGTGGCGGCACCGGCCCGGCCAGGGCGGTGGCCGTGAGCGCCGGGCGCTGGCTCAGGTGCTGCTGGTGACGGGCACTCACCTGCTGTGCTTCGTGCCCTACCACGCCGTGCGCATCCCCTACACGCTGAGCCAGGCCGGCGCCGGCTCCGACTGCGGCCTCCGCCGCGCTCTCTTCCAGGCCAAGGAGTGCACCCTGCTGCTCGCCATCTCCAGCCTCTGCCTGGACCCCGTCCTCTACTACCACCTGTCCACGGCCTTCCGCCTCAGCGTCACGGCGGCCTTCGCAGCCCCCCGGGCGGGGAAGGCGCCCACGGCCCCGGAGGAGCAGCACAGCAGCGAGCAGCAGAGCTGCAGCCCCAACTGCAAGAGTGGGGAGCAGAGCGTGCCCCCCTGCAGCCCCTGCAGCCCCCACAGCCCCTGCAGCCCCCACAGCCCCTGGGCTGCTGCACGCGTGGGCGGCAGTGCCAACAACGCTGCTGAGGAGCCCTGAGCCCAACGAATGGATCCACCAGCAACCAACAGCCCTGGCCGTGTGACACATCCCCACAGCACTGCCCAGCACACACAGCCCAGGGATCTGCACACACAGCCCAGGGATCTGCACACACAGCCCAGAACAGGGGTCACCCCCAGCACACAGCCCAGGGATCTGCACACACAGCCCAGGGATCTGCACACGCAGCCCAGAACAGGGGTCACCCCCAACACACACAGCCCAGGGATCTGCACACACAGCCCAGGAACAGGGGTCACCCCCAGCACACACAGCCCAGGGATCTGCACACACAGCCCAGGGATCTGCACACACAGCCCAGGAACGGGGGTCACCCCCAACACACACAGCCCAGGGATCTGCACACACAGCCCAGGGATCTGCACACACAGCCCCAAGAACAGGGGTCACCCCCAACACACAGCCCAGGAACAGGGGTCACCCCCAGCACACACAGCCCAGGGATCTGCACACACAGCCCAGGAACAGGGGTCACCCACCAGGCACCAGTAACGTGTCCAAATACACGCTCAGATTCAAACACACCTTAGAATTATTTATGGCAGAACTCACCTTCACTAAGTTAAATATTGTGCATTTACTATATGAAATGACTTGGTGCTATAAAGTGAAGAAATTATTAGACAGCAGTTCTTCAGCTGTAAAGCTGATTTCACAAGATTAACCAAAAAGCATTTTAGAGGGCATTACTTACTCCAGAGAGGGATTTTGAACTGGACCGATTAAAAATTGCTGTATCTGCTTACACCACACCTGCAGGCTTCATAAATAAATTTCTTCTTCCTCCAAGTTCCATTGTCTCTCCTTGCTGCTGCCTCAATGAATATGAGAAAAGCTAACAACGTGTTACTGCAGAAAATTCAAGTGAATTGGAAAAGGAAGATAAAAAGTGTGAGTATCCATCATGTTCTCTTTGTTTGATCTCTTTTCATATAAATTTATAAAACAGCAACTAAGTTTATTAATATTCCAATTTACAGTTACTTCCAAAACGGATGCATATGTAGAATAATCAATAACTGAAATTTGAAAATCAATTTACTTTGGCAAAATCCAGCTGCTTAGGTTATCTCCACCTGCAAATCAAAACTATTGCAGAAACAAAACCAAATCAAGTTATCTTTTTGCTAATCCTTGCAAAATGGACAAAATATGAATCTTATTTTAGGCAAGCATTCAAAACGGCTCATTCAGTATTTTCATAACAATTCTCGTTCAACAAGTCAGAACCCCAACTTTGTGAGGTAAGAAATTTAAAGAAAAGAAAACTGTATATATCAGAGTTTTGGTTAGAGTCTGGGTCACGGGGGGTGACCGTGGTGCCTGATCCAGTGATCACTGCTCTGAAATGCTCTGCTGGCCCAGCAGGCAGTGCCACAGGGACACAAGGGACAGCTGTGGCACTGGTCACTCACCAGGGCTGTGAGGAGGTGTTTGCCATACTGCAGGTGCCAAAGGATTGGAAATTCAGTTTTCTCAGGCTGTCCCTCCTGGCTGAGCTCCCTCTGCCAAAGGAAGGGCTCACGCTCTCACAACACTCCCCGGGCATCGAATAAAAGATGTGAGAGGTGTAAAGCAAAGGTTTAAGGTTAGTGCAGCCTTCAGTTTCTGAAATCCAGCAGCTGCAGCCAGAGACAGGATTTGTTCTCGCTTACAGCTGTTTCTTAAACTCCTGAGGTTTTTCAAAGACAGACAAAGCAAAGGCAGTCACAATAAGCCTGAGATTTAAGATACATGTACAAATTATATCTCTGTGCATATCTCTGTGGTTATTAGACAAATTTTAGCCTAGAGATATTTAGTCTAGGAAAGTGCATTCTGATTCTGAGGAACCTCCTCATTCCTCATGCTGCTGTGACATAGAAATCAAAATGAGCTGTTCCAGTGACTGAGGGAAATCATGAGAAGTGGAGGTTGACAAGAGACACTGCAGGCAGGAATGGGTGTGCTTGAAACCACACACATGACAGATATCAGGAGAAACGGGGTCCTGAAAGTGATGGGTGAGGGCACAGGCGTGCATGAAAAAAAAGGAGAAATCCAGAGGAAGAAACAGGAGATTCAAGAGTCGTGCAAAACAGAAAGGGAAAAGAGGGGGAAACATTTGGAACCAGAGTCAAGGCATAAAACTCTCACTTGAGAAGCAGATGGCAGCAGTGGGGGTCCTCAGAGTGGAGCTCTGCAGGGTTATTTGTGCTTTGCTGTGACACCCACAGAGCAGCATCTCCACAGCCTCAGCATCCGGGGCTCCCTGCAGGGCAGGACAGAGGAACCAGCTCACCCACACAGCCACGAGTGATGTCTGAGCACACAGCCTGCAGCAGCCTCCTCTGCAGGAGGAAAGCCAGAGGAGCTGGGGGCTGCTCTCCTGATGCACACATTTCCTTTCTTTGCAGTGTTTTCACATGAAATATAAGCTGGAAGCCAAAGAGATAAAGTTTTCATATGCCCAGTTCTCATATTGCTGATATTCAAATCAAAATTTTACTTTATGATAAAGTTGCTTCACTAAACCCTTCCCAGCACTCTCAGCAAGGGAACACTTCCCTCAGAGTGATTGGGAATTACAGACCCAAGAGCATGAAGGTTCCTGCTTCACAGCTGTCCCAACTTCCCTGCTGAGAAAAACAGAACCCACGTTTGGGCTGAGCAAGGCTGCTGTGCACACACACACAGCCAGGGCAGGGGAGTGCAGGGAGGAAGGGAAATGTTTTTCTTTTACCCAAATAAAGCAACGTGGTGACATTACCACCCCTGTGGTGAGATGCTGTCAGCTACCAATAGAACCAGGGATGCTCTAGATTCCTGGAGACAATGCAGAACAGCCAAAAGGCTCTGCTCTCCACTGATGCAGATTTTGTTGGGCAAGGTGGCACTGCCAGAGCCATTCCCATACACTGGGTTCTTGGAACACAGGCCCTGGCAGCAGCTGAGGCAAGTCTGAGAGGTCTGGCCATCAAATATGTTACTTTGCTTTTTTTAACTGGAAATCAGAAATGTGGAGTCACACAACTTCCTGTCCCATGAAGGCTGCACCTCGGGGCCTCCTCCCTTCCAGCACCACATTTACTCACACACACTCAGAATGCACCAACCTCTCAGAATAATCAGGCTCTGGATTTGTCTCATCTGGGGTCTTGCACCTGCAGCAGGTCCTGGGCAAGAGCAGACCACACCTCAGAGGGGCTCAAACTGCTGCCCCAAAGAGCAGCATGAATGTCATAAGAAAAAGCTGGCTTGAAGCTGAGTGCTCCTCTTAAGGTCACTATCAGTTATTTAAGTCACAGAACAAATTTTTGCATTCCAGAGAGATTGTGTACTTTAACTCCTTTAGACGAGCAGGTGTTGGATTTCCTAAGATAGTTAAGGATGAAAACACCCAGACAGGTAAAGCAATTTGAGCAACAGAGGCAATGCCAGCTGCATTATTAAAACTATTACAAGACTGCTCAGAACATGCTCTATTTTCTCAGTGCTTAGGGAAACAGACTGATTCTGCAGATATTATTTTGCTCATCTTGTCTCTCTTTCCTGTCAAGCAGCCGCACACACTCAGATTTGTGTCTCTCATGTAGTCACAAATGTTAAATCGAAGCTCTGTGACTTCCAGACCTGTTTTCCCACAGTGGGGTGGGGAGTTTTGTTTGTCTGTTTCATTTCCAGAAAAGTAATCTCAGAAAGACAAATAACAACTCTCTGCATTTGTCACAACCCCATTCGTGAGAACCACATTCTAAAACAGGACTTTTTCACTCGAAAGTGAAAAACATCTCTTGGCATCCTAAGAATTCAGATGGACTTCAAAGAAAACACCAGAAGAAAGACTAAATACAAGTGCAGAGTCCTAAGTGCATAAATATCCATGGAGTTTCAGGATTCTACATAGGGATTCCAAGAAATTCAACATCAGTCCTTAAAAATCAATCACTCTCTTCTGTCCTCCTTCACTGGCTAGAAAATCCTGCTGCCAAGCTGCAGGTACCAGGTACCCCCCACTGCTGAGGAGCATTTCAAACTATCTTAACCAAGCTGTATTTTGCTACACAGGAGATTGGCAAGTTCAAGAGTCTCACCAACCATTCTAAACCTCTTAAAAAGGATTGAGAGGTGAAAAAGCCAGTCCTTCTCAGTTCCCTTCCATAGTGGTACCTGTGACAGACTATGACAGATAATAAAAATACACGTAGTTCAAATGTGAAATTTGAGTGGGTTTAAGCCCTAGGAAAATGACTGGTGAACTCACAGAGTTGTTACAGACATGTGAAAGTCACTATTGCATTCTCCAGACCCCCTTCTGAGGACTCTGTTTCTGCCCCAATCAATTCCTGCCCTCACTCTTTGCCTAACTGGGGCTGCAGACAAGTCACAGGCATTCCAAGTCTGGACTGGTGCAAAGAAATTTATTCCAGTTTAACACTGTACAGTAAAAGTACAGCCTGTTTACTGGATTTACACCTTCACAATAATCACCACTGTGAAAATCATTCTGGAGCTGTGCACAAGAGATTATTTGAGCCAGGGAAATGTCACATGGAAAATACTTGTCACCAGAAATAATGTCAGTAGTTTTCTCTTCAATCCCATCTAAAAAGAAAGTGAATTTACTGCTTTATGACACAGAATAGATTTCTAGATTTTGAGTCCTTCTAATCAGGGGAATCTCCTGAGGAACCCATACAAGTCAAAGAGAACCAGAAATGAGAGATGCTTTCATTGCTCAGTGCACACGGCCACAGTCCCCAGGCAGCAATCCTGTCACTGTTTTCATTGTGATGCTGTATCTTCATGATTTTATATCACCAGACCTTCCCACCAAAACAATTCATCAACTGCTATTATTATTATTATTATTATTATTATTATTATTGCTATTATTATTATTATTATTTGAAACTTCATGGACAAAGAGCTGAGCCTCTGTCAGCTACACTAGTGCTGGGTTTGGGGCCCCGTGCCTGTGTGGAAACCTGCACAGAAGGGCCAGCTGGGACAGAACCACAGAATCGTTCGGGTTGGAAAAGGCTTTTGAGATCATCAAGTCAAACCATTAAGACAGCACTGCCAAGCCCAGCACCTAAACACGTGTGATCCATGATGAAAGCTCAAACCAAGGTATTAAAACTGGAAAAACAGACAGGAAATAGATTCCAAACATGCTTCAGTTGGGCTCACATCAAAACACATTCAGCAGACAGCTGTCCTTCAAAGAACATTTTTAACAACAATAACAATTGCAGAAGGCAACGTCCTAGCCGTGCACATCCTATTTACAGGATAAAAATCCTTAGAGACTTACACGAGCACACAGCCTCGTGACTTGCGGCCTCTTCTGCCAGGGAAAAGCAGAAGTTTGTGAAGGGGAAGGAAACAAGAGACAAAAAGAGGACAAACAGCACCGCTCGTGGTGACATCCCTGCAGCGCCAGGGCGCGACCAGCGCCGACATCCAGCGGCGGTGAGAGCCGGGCAGCCGGGGCAGGGGGAACCGCCCGGGGCTCTGAGACCCTCCCAGGGGCTCCGGGACATCGCCCGGGGCTCTGGGCATTACCTGGGCATTACCTTAATAAACAGCAAAAAGATAAATACACCCAGATGGAAAAAAAATCTAAAACCCAAAACCAAGGAGACAAAGCAACAACCAAAAAATAGAAGAGGGCAGCTCGGCATTGATGGCTTTAGAAGAAAACCTGTAAAAATAAACCGTCTGAAATCTTCCTTTATGGAGGGCAGATAATCAGACAGAGCTGCCAAGTTCATCGTCTGAGCCCCCAACTCATCCACTCCCCCGGGGGCTGGGACGAGCAGAGCACTCATCAAATTACAGAGATCTGTCATCCTAAACCCTCGCTATCGAGTGACAGGGGATGCACGGACACACCTGCCGAGCTGTGCAGCAGGGCACGGGGAAGAGCCTTTGGGGGACAGCATCGGACAGCCGGGGCTGCCCCGGTACCGGGATCCCGGGACAGGGCTGGGCACTGGGGCTCTCGGGACAGGGTTAGCTGGGTACCAGGCTCTCGGGACAGGGTTAGCTGGGTACCAGGCTCTCGGGACAGGGCTGGCCGGGTGCCGGGGCTCTCCAGCATCCTGAGCGCAGCTCGGGCACCGCCTCCCGGGCAGCCGCAGCCCCGTGTGCCACCATGCCAGCCCAGCAGAAGAAGCTGCTCTTTGGCACAGCCGGGGTGCTGAGCTTCGCCTGCGCTCTGGGGACAGCGGCGGCCGTGGGGTCGCAGCTCTGGGTCAGGGGCTCCATCCTCTGCTCCACCGGAGCGCTGCTCGTCAACGCCAGCGGCCCCGAGCTGCTCAAGTTCATCGGCGACATCGAGTACGGGCTCTTCTCCGGGCAGCGGGTGCGGCAGTGCGGGCTCGGGGGGAGACCCTCGCACTTCTCCTGTGAGTACCCGTGGGGTTTGGGGCTGTTCCATCCCTCGCACTTCTCCTGTGAGTACCCGTGGGGTTTGGGGCTGTTCCATCCCTCGCACTTCTCCTGTGAGTACCCGTGGGGTTTGGGGCTGTTTCCATCCCTCGCACTTCTCCTGTGAGTACCCGTGGGATTTGGGGCTGTTCCTTCCCTTCTGCCGGGACTGGGCTGCCCTGCCAGCACAGCCCTGCTCGGACACCGAGCCCCCAGCTCGGACACCGAGCCCGCAGCAGCGCTGCCCTCACCCTGCTCTGATCTCAGCGTCAATAATTTATTTTATGGTACTAATACAGCCTGGCTCATGCCTTCAAGAATCTGTAATGCAGTTTCACAGAGAGCCACATTACAAAAGATTTATACTATTACTTTAAAAAGAATATTTGGGGCAGTTAATTAATCTCTGTCATCTTCCTCTGTGTGCCAGCATGACAATGCTACCTCTGTGCTGTTAACAAGAATGTACTAAACCAGCAAGAAGCTCGGGAAAGAGCTGGGGCACTGGCTGCTACTGAGAAACAAAGCAGCCCCAAGGTTTGCAATCTGTGGCACTAATTGGAAGAAGGACTGGGGGAGGCTGTCTGGGGAATGCTGGCTGACCTGGTACCTGACACACAAATATCAAAGTGTTAGTAATGGCTTCACTTTACACTCATAGCCTATTGATGTTCAAGGATAAGAAGATCAATAAAAAAAAAATCAAGAAGTGAGGCACATTTGTACCCAGCAGCACACGGAGCAGGCAGTAAAAGGCAGTTGCTGTGGGTACAAAAACTCTCCTGAAGTCACTACAGCACAGTGTATAATTGTTCTGCTACAACAGCACATGCAAACTGCTCACACCCCTGATTTCATGCAAGGGGAGGTTGACAGACAAGATACCAGAAATTATTTACTATATAACATCTTCCCAAAATAGGAAACCAAGCTAATTTAATACAGTCTTAGTATTTGCTCTCTCTAAATTCCATCACTAGTCTGATTAAACTGCTGAAGTTCCCCCTTGGTTGCTTTGTGTGCCATCCCAGTTATTGCATTAGTGAATTTTCAGCGGGGTCTGTGCAATCCCAAGAATTTGGTTTACTGCTCTAGGTGAGACTTATGACCCAGGGCTGGTCCAGGTGCTCTGGGACTGACACCCAGGTGCAGCCAGGGACAGCAGTGAGGGGTCAGGGGCATTCACCTCAGAGAGCACTGAGAACAAGGTGCTGATCCTGCTCCCTGGGGCTGCAGCAGCCCCCTCCCATCACCTCAGTACCTTGGAAGGTACCAGGAGCATTCCTGAAAACAGGACAAGCTTATAAAATACACAGCCACAGCTTAATGCACTCACTGCACTTGAGCATGTCTGAGGAGAGCAGACACAGAAAATAGGCTAAAATATTTCCTTCTATGCTTGTCCCCATTAAATGCTCCCCTCTGACCACTATATCTCTTTTAATTGTAATATGAATTTGCTCTGCCAGCAAACCCTGTTCAGCTGGGGAAAACTTCTGCTCCATTTGTTCCCACTCATTCCCATCAGTTTCTAGGTCAGTGGTTCATTTTCTAAAGGTCTCTGCCATGCACAGCACACATGGGTTCATTCAGGACCATGAAGGAATGTTTTCCTTTCAAGACAACATTGCTTCTGGAATTGATTTTTCCTGATATATCACATATAAAATGTTAACCAGCTATAGATGCAGGTCCCCAGGGGAGGATTCAATACCATGCCATCACTTGTTTTCTTAAAACAAACCATACAAAATGGTATTATTAAGTACACAGTTTTGCATGTTCTCCCAAAACATCAGACAGGGTCACAGGAACTAATTCTATTCCTTGCAGGAATCCTGCACAGGGAAGCACTGGAAGAACACCCCAGCTCTCCCAGCCTGGCTCTGTGGCCTCGCTCAGCAGCTCCATGGTGTTTAGATTTTGGGGGCAGCTCTGCAGATGGAGCCTGAGCAGGGCAGAGGGGCAGAATCCCCCCCTGTCCTGCTGCTCACATGTGGGACAGGGCAGGGGAGGTTCTGGGTGCCAGAGCACCTGGAGCTTCTTCCCCACCTTCCTTGCCCCTGGGCAGCTCCCAGCACATTCCCCACCCAGCCCAGGGCTGTGCTGGGATTGCCCTGACCCACACACACAGCACCCTGACCTTCATGAGCTCTGCAGACATCGGTTCCATTGATTTCCCTTTCATTTAGTCAGGGAGATGAATACCCCATCACCTGCTGCTCTGTGCTGCTGTCTACAAGGAGGAGTAACTGATGTGGGGCTGCTTCACTCTCCACTCATTACAGCACAGCAAAGCAGCACCAGGCACTGTTAACTCACTTTAGTCACGCCCCCATGGACCAGGAGCACTGGAGTGTATTTCACAGTTCCTTCCAAAATACCTGGGTTTGCCAAACAAACAGGAAAAAAATCATTCTCCCTTGTGTCTGAATGACTATCCCTGTGTCCTAGACTAACAGGAGCACAATTTGAAAGAGTAGTTTAAAAGCTGCATAAAAATATTTAGAATAAATTATTCCATAATCACAGCATAATTTCCTTTCCCATGCCACAGCCCTTTGTGGGACTTCATGAACATAAATGAAAACAAAGTCTAAAGAAAGATTTCTTGTCCCAGAGAAGAGTGGACGGCCAAGCCTTCAGCCAAGGGAGCCCAGCCCTGTAACACTGGCACTGGCCTCGGTGACACCTTGTGCCACACCTGCCCCCTCAAACACAGCCCAGAAGATGCTTTTCACATTAAGGACCAAATTCCACCCTCAGGAAGGGAGGAGAGGCTTTCCCTGGAGCTGCTCTCTGTCTCTCTCTCTCCTGGCCAGTCTATGCTTCTGAGTTTCACAGAATTTTTCTGCCTCCAAACATCCATGAAAAACCATTTCTAGCTAATTATTTCATCTGGTTACATTTAAAAGAACAGGATTAAAACAATTATCCCAAACGAGCAGGAACCCCCAGCCTGACATCAGAGACAACTTTACCTAATGTGTATAATAATGCTGTGGTTTGTTTGTTTTCAGTTTTTCCAGATTTGCTCAGAATTATCCCTGCAAGTATCCACGTTAGTGTCATCCTGTTCTGCACAGTCCTGATTGTCTTTGCCCTGGTGGGAGCAGGGTTCTTCATGTTCAATGCTTTTGGCAGCCCCTACGAGACCCTGCACGGCCCCACGGGGCTCTACCTCTGGAGCTTCATCTCCTGTGAGTAGCCCAGGCTGGGCTGGGCTGGCCCTGCTCACCAGGAGCCTTTCCCAGCAGAGGAGGGCGAGCCCAGCTCTGCCTGCATTCGCTCTGAGCTGCCCTAAGCGAGCCAGGCAGGAGGGAGGGCGGCTCTGCCGTACCAGAACACGTTTTCCAGACTGAAGCTGAGACATAAACTGGGGAAATCCCACACAAGGGTGGGTGGCAGGGTGGGAATGGACAAGCAGCTGCAGGCAAGCAGGGCAGAGGGCCCCAGGGACAGAGCTGGGGTGGCATCAGGGCAGCCCACACACAGTAATGAGCAGGAAAAGGGGGAAAAACAACCAAAACAGCCGGCGATGCAGCTGGCTCCACGACAGGAGGGTTGCAGATGATGTGAGGTCACTCAGAGCAGCACAGCCTTGCCAAGGACAGGGGAGCTGGCAACAGCTCGTGGTGTCTGACACAGGCACTGCCAGGCAGGGGTAACAGAGGGTCCCTGTGCCCACACCTTCTCTGGGCTGCTGGCCTGGCTGACAGACACATCTGGCCTGACTTTGCAGGGTACCACACACTGCAGTCATCACTGAACAGAGGACACGTGCTCCTGCTCAGGCACACAGCTCCACTCTCTCAGTGGCACAGTGAGCAACCTAAAGCTGGACATGAGCACAGATACCTCACCAGCTCAGGGCACTAAAGCAGCTGTGCTAAATATTCCTGGTGCTGAGCCAAATTCAATTAGCAAACCTTACCCATTTCAATAGCCACTGGCTTGGATTCCAAAACCAGTCCCTGTCAAAGCTGAGAGGCCATACAAACACTGCCCAGGGGTATGTGGCTGCAGCACACACGGTACAGCATGGCTGAGGGATTGCTGAGCTGATGAACATCTCCCCCTCCCTTTCAGGTTCCTGTGGTTGCCTCATCCTGATTCTCTTCTCCTCAGAGGTGAAGATCCACCACCTTTCAGAGAAAATTGCTAATTTCAAAGAGGGAACTTTTACATTCAAGACTCACAGTGAGCACTTTGCAAATTCCTTCTGGACCATCCTGGTTTGCTCCCTGGTGCACTTCCTCAATGCTCTGCTAATCCGATTTGCTGGATTTGAATTTCCCTTTTCAAAACCAAAAGACTCAGGGACAATCACAGGAGCAGTTGACCTGATGTATTAAAACGATGAGATTTAAAAATGTTTCAAGTAAAGGAGGTTGTCACTATTGCATCAACAACCACCAGATGTACCAACTTGTGAATGATTAGCTCTAGAGAAGGTAAAAAAAGGGAAGTTTCAGATAAGTGTCAATATGGTGTAAGCAGTGAACAAAAGAGATGTTCTGTATGGTAATGTCTGGATGGAAAACCCTCTTTCTTGGGGTAAGATCTTATTAAGACTTTTTTTCTGTAAACTGTTTAAAAAGTGGCTGGTATGAAGAAAAATAGGAATCTCAGTAGCCTTGCACTGAATCTGGAAAGTCCAACCAATGGGTTGTAGGAGAAGCCCACACTCACCAGCAGCAGCTCTGCCCTTCAGCCCTGGTGAAGGCAGGGATGCAGCTGAGGATGCAGCCGGGACCACATCAGAGCAGCAGGGCACAAGGACACCCAGCAAGGGACAGGACAGAAGCCAGGCTGTGCCCCAGCACCCCTGGGACTGCAGCTCAGGTGTGCAGTGCTCAGAGGGCACCACCCAACACCTGCACTTTGATCTGGCCTCACACACATGGAAACAGCAGCATTTCTCTCCATGAAACTCCCTGGGCTTTTTCCTTTTAACAAACCAAACTGTGCTCCAAACCCAGAGTCCTGGCAGCTGCTGAGCTTGGTGGCAGGGCTGGCAGAGCTCACAGTGCAGTGGAGATGCCCCTGCTTGCCTGGGGGAGACAGCCAGGCCTGGCAGTGCTGAACAAACCCTCTGCAGCTCAGCAGGAAAAGGGCATTCCCAGGGCAGAGCCACGGCACAGAGCCCGGGGACCCCCCTTGCTCTGCCCCCTCCAGAGAGCAGCCCTGCAAGGTCTCATCAAACAGTGCCAAGAAAGATGGGAGAGCCCCTGGAGAAGGGCAGCACTCACACAACAACCACACAACAGGCACAACAAAACACAACAAAACAGGTACAGCACAACAAAATACAGAATACAACCAAACACAGCAGGCTCCCGTGCAGGCTGCAGCTCAGCAGGGGCTGAGGAGCCAACAGGGAGGGTCTGGCTCGGGAAGCCAGATCAGACAGGAACCCTGGACATCCCCAAGTCAGCTAAAGCAAGAGATGTTCCCCAAATGTTCCCCATCATCCCAGCAAGCACTGGCTCTGCGGGGTTACCTGGCTGCCTTGGAGGTGAACGCTCCTCACAGGACACAGAAACTGCTCAGAGCAAGCACGGCTGGGGAGCCCCGGCCCCATTTACCTGCGGGCTGCCCCAGCTGTGGGTGAGGAGCAATCCCAACCAGCACCCACCCAGTCCCCAGATCAGAGCCAGGTATCAGAGCCCTCTGTGCTTCAGGATCTACCAGCCCACGAGGCCTTACTGACTTTGATGTCATTTTTTGTACTTTTACTGTGAAAGGCAGAACGCTGCTGGGTTATTGTAAAGGTTTGTCAGCTGTATCCTTTCCCAAGTTAGCTCTGCATCTCCCTGGATTTTATAATGTGGAAGGGCTTCTGTGAGTCAGCACAACTCCCAGTGTTTTCATCATTTTCTTGTTAATCTATATGCATATTCCTCCTAATGTTAATGTATGTTCTTAAAGCATAATTTGTATTAAATCTCACGGTACTGTTTACTACACAGCAAACCCAAACACATTCCTTTACTGTGGAGACAGGAGCAGCCCCAGCCTGGGCTCTGGGACCAAAGCCTGGCCCAGCCACCCCCACATCCCCCCCTGCACCCGAGCATCAGCCCAGCTCTTCCTGAGCAAACACAACTTCTTACCAGCAAAATAAAACTGGGACAATGTTCGTGCGTTTGACGGGCTGAAAGAGCAGATACGGTGTGCACAGTGCAACCACGAGGGAGCCCCAGAAAGGGCCCCGGGGGAGCCCCAGCATGGACCCGGCACCTCCTTGGATCCATGAAAATGTCCCTGCTGCTGCCCCACACCCCTGCCACCCGCAGCCAGCCCCCCACGAGCAGCCACCGCTGCTGTCCCCCCCCGCTCCTGTGACATTAAACATTGATGCTGCTGGCACAGCGAGCAGGGCAGAGCGGGGGACCGGGCTGTCCGGAGAGCTCGGACACCGAGGGACAGCGAGGGACACCGAGAGACACCGAGAGACACCGAGGGACACCGTGTGACACCGAGGGACACCGTGTGACGGGGGTGCCCTGCCCGCAAGCCCCGGCGACAGGCGGGGAGCTCGGGGCGTCTCGGCAGCGAGGGTCAGAGAGGCTCTGCAGCAGCTCCAGTGCCCCCAGCCCGGAGCATCCCCGGGAGCATCCCCGGGAGCATCGATCACCCCGAGCATCCCCCGGATCCTCACCCCGAGCATCCCCCGAGGGGAGAGCAGCAGCGGCTGCCATGGGTGACCCGGGGGCTGAGCACCCTGCACCGACAGAGCTGGAGGAGATCACCAGCAGAATCTCTGATCTGAGCAAATGGAGAGAAATCTTTAGTTTCCGTGGGTGAGATTTTTATTCTGCTTCTTGAACACAGGTTTAGTTCCAGGTGGTTATTTGATGTAATTTTTAAAGCTAGGTTTTATTACAAAATTTATGTGACAATGTGTGCTCGGTAACATAAATGCTTCAACTCTTCCTTTTTTCTGGGGTTCTCTTCTGTCTGGGCTCTGTTTTCTCCACATGCTAGCAATACCTCTGTTGGGTGTTTTAATTTTTACTTTATTTTACGTTTTCAGCTTGGAAATGAACAGCACGACTCATCAGGTAACTCCTTTTCCAAAGGTAATATTTTCTGTTTGTCTGGTGAGTTTTGGGCTGTCCTTGGCTGTCACACTGAGGAGGTCACACATCCATACCTGCAGCCCAGGTATCTATGGAGATTCATTTCTCGTGCTGATTCTTTTAGAAGAATAGATTTAGAAGAATCAAATATTTTGAAATCAAAGGGACAGAGCAGTCCAATAGTTGATTAACCTTTCCATCAAAAACTAATGGTTTTCACGGTGAGTTTTAGAAAACAAACTAAGATCTCCAAAATACAAGTATTTGGAAAACCTGCTGTGCCCTTAGGCTGGGGGACAGGGGAGGGTATTTATTCCCTGTAATTCAGGCAAACACAGCACCATGACCTGCTCCAGCCATCAGCTAGAGGGATGTGTTGGGAATGCCTGAAAACAGCTGGAAGCCAAGGGCACACACACGCTCCAGGGCAGAGTGTGCCCCCAGCCCCCTGCCAGCCCGGAGCCAGGCTCTGTGCCCACCCAGGGCTCTGTGCCCACCCCGGCAAGGCCCTGGGTGCTGGGGGAGCAGCCCTGGGGATCGATGCTCTGTGCTCCTCTCCCTGCAGCCAGGAGCCGGCAGTGCTGGCCATGGAGAGCCCGGAGCTGGCGAGTCCCCAGGGTCACAGCCCCTCCTGCTGCCCCAGGGCGGCCGCCCCATCTCCCAGGACACGGCAATGGTGAGCTGCTGCTGAATTAAATATGAGCTGTAACTGAATCCCCTAAAGAAAAGAGACTGGGGAGCCTTTCCTGGTGCCTGCTGACAGCTGGACAGCGTGTGGAATGGGGACGGGCTCTTTAGCAGACTCTTAACAAACATGGCTGGAATACAACCTTAAAGCTGATACTCAATAATTCTCAGGAGACAACCAGTCAACGACAACAGGCAATGCTTCCCTGGACTTAGGGGCTTCCCTGACAAACAGCCTCGGGACAGGAGGCAGGAGCATGGAATTTCAGAATTGTTTGGCTTGGAAAGGGCCTTTGACACCACCAGTGAGGGAATTCAGCTCCTGTGGAGTGTCTGGCCCCAAAAGCAGAGCTGCCAGGTGCTGCTGTCCTTGGCAGTGACAGGATGGGCCCCAGTGCAATCGTCCCCAAGATGTGCACTGTTCCCAAAGGTAGGGAACTGTAGGGAACACTGCAGCCAGGCTGCAGCAGAGTGCCTGAGTGCTGAGCGAGGTCCCTGCACCGAGCTCCAAGCATCACCTCTGCTCTGGAGCTCAGGCCTGGCTCTGGGCAGGGTGACCCTGCTGTGGCTCAGGGCACACACAGGGCTCCCCGAGAGCCCTGATGGGACAAACCCTCCCTGCTGGACGGGACATCTGACCCTGGCCCCTGTCCTGCTCCTCCCCAGAGGCTGCAGCAGCTGCTCTTCAGGAACAACACCCCCCGGTTCGGCTGCGAGTGGGCAGCAGCAAACTTCAGCTTCCACCTGCCACACTCCCACCTGGCCTATGCACTGCAGGCAGGAAAGGTAAAAGTGTCACATGGGAAAGGGAAAAGTGTCACATGGGAAAGGGAAAAGTGTCACACTGCAGCTATCACCTGCTGATTGGTGTCACTGACACCTGTGGGGGGCCTCAGCAGGACACACACCTGTACCTGCACACCTGTACCTGCACACTGCACCCTGTACACCTATACACCTGCACACCTGTATCCTGCGCACCTGTACACCTGTATAGGTTACAAAAAGCCAGTTTCTTTTCTGAGAATTAGGCTTACCTAATTATTCCCGCCCCACCTAGACATCCAACAAGTGCAGTCACCTGGACTGTCATGTTCTGAGATGGAGCTTTTCCTCTTCCTTATTTGCCATCACAACACTGCACCCAAAAATGCAGAAGGCCAAGATCCACACTCAGACTGTGAATCCCCCGAACTTGTCTGAGGCTGAAACTCCGGGCACAGCCGTGGGTGCCGCTCCCGCATTCCAGAGCTGGGTGCTCACAGAGGGAGCACAGCCCTGGTGTGTGTGTCAGCACGGGGGCAGTGGGCACAGGCTCTGTGCAGCCTCAGCTCCGCTCTGGGCTGCCTCTGGACCTCCGGAGGGGACAAAAAACAAACCATGGGGCTCCCAAGCACACAGGGTACCTGGAGCCAGGTGCTATTTCCTGGGATGGAGGAAGGAAGGGCACCCACCCACAGGATCCCTGCTGCCTCCAGGGCTGCCCTGCAGCTTCTTCTCCAGAGGGACTTCTTGTTGTCCCCCTGGCCAGGAACTGCTGGGGATGACACACGCTCCTTCAGACCCCTTGGATGGCAGGGGCTGTTCTTCTGTTCCTGGCAGGGGCTGTTCTTCTGTTCCCAGGGAGGAACGAGAGCCATTCTGGCAGCTGTTCAAGCACACATCATCACATACCTGCTCTTCACAAGAGACACAGAATGTACTCACCTGGAAAGGTAAGCTGCTGGGCCTCATGGGACACACGGAAATTATTTCCTTGCACTGCTGGGTGAGTGCCAGCCTCTGGGTTCAGGTAAACCAGATGCAGGTTCAGGCGTGCAGATACAGATGGGGACATGCACTGGGAGAGAGCCTTGGCTGACCCCCAGGCAGGGCTTCTCCCCACCAAGCCCTCTGATTTCGGGGCAGTGGCACATGTCCCTGCCCTGCGTGGTGTCACTGCCCTGGCTCCCCCTGGCACAGGCTGTGCCGGGTCGGGCGTTTGGAGCAGAGGCAGGCGCTGGCCACGGCCCTGGCAGAGACCCTGTGGGCAGCAGGAGGAGGGGGCAGAGCTGCCGTGTGCCTCGTCACTGCCCCTGTCACCACCGTGCCCCCTGAGGGCTGCAGAGCCAGCAGCTTCACGGAGAGAGTGAGTATGGAACATTCCTCTGCCAACGGGACTTTCCTTAGACCCCTTCGGCTGAAATGTAGAATATCCTGCACCCACCCCCTCCCTTACACTGCACTACAAACAGTGACCACCCCAGAGCCCCGATACATCCAGCCCCCCCTTCTCCAAAATCCATCTTCCTTCTCCTGCAAAAAGGAGAATCCTGTCAACACCAAGCTGCTCCCCTGAATCCCCGCCAGAGCCAGAGCCCAGGGCTGGGGCAGGGGCAGAGCAAATCTCTGCATTGTTCCTTCACTTGGCTAATGGAACCACAGGATTCCAAAGCTCAGGGTTCTGGTGTAATTCCTGTCTCCTTCACGCCACCCTCACGGTGCTCATGGCCAGCAGATCCGGCTGTTCGAGTTCTCGGAGAAAGCTGCAGCTCAGGGCTTCATCTCTGATCACATAAACTCTGTAAGTGGGCATAACTGCTTTATCCAAGCTATTTTCTCGCTAAATTACTTCTTATTTCCCATTCAAATTGGGCGTCTTGGACACAGCCGTGTCATTGTCATCAGGACATTCACACAGTTAATGCACAGTTGGATCATTTCCAGCCTTTCCAGTGGGAAGGGATCCTGCTCCCATTAAATCCCTGTGACTTTACTCATTATTCCAGCTCTGTCAGCCCACAAACACTGGGTAAACAGGGCAGCATTTTGTATATCATTCACAGATGTGATTCCTTGCAGCCTCAGCAAAAATATGGGAAAAAATGTACAAAACCCGTTTAGCCAATACCAGAAAATTTCTTCTTTCTTTTTTTCACCTGATCCTATTCAACAAAATCAGTTACAAAGTCTTCCTGGCATAACACCTCAGTCATCTAACTCAACACACTCACCTAAGGCTGTATTGAAGCACAGGAACTGTTTTAATTAAATATGATTTACCGGCCATAATTCCTCCCTGTGATCCCGTATTTCTTTTTCCAGTTCGAAGGCGAAGGAAGCCATGGAGTGATCCTATTTTTATACAGTTTACTTTTCTCTAGGACGTTTGAAAGGTATTTTTTGCTTTTTAAACATTTTTCAGTAGTTTGGTTGCATCTGAAAAGGCTTTTCCTTTCCTCCCGTTTGTGTTGGGCAGGCAGGGAGGTGCAGTGCTGCCCCTGGCACTGATGATCTGTGCCTGGCAGGGTCCACGAGGATTTGGGTGACACAGCTCCCCTGTTGAACGTCAGTTCTGGAAATGTCACCTGCACAGAGGTAGGATCGGCCACATGTCTCAAGCGTTCTGGTTTTATTATTCCCACATCTGAAAAAATTATCACGTGTTAATTAATCCAAAGAAAAAAATAAGCGTGAGCTCATTTTAAAAAAATATTTTGCTATTTTAATCATGACTGTGCACTTAAAAAACAGATGATGATGACAATGATGATGATGATGATGATGATGATGATAGTAACAATAATTTTTAAAAGCCGCTGGCAGCCCGGCATTCCCCTGCTTGTGACAGAGCTGGGAGCGCGACGTCCCCTGCTCGGGGCGTTTGCTCCGTGTCCCCGGTGTGACCGGGCTGTGTCCCCAGGCCGTGCTCAGCCTGCTGCTGACAGGACGGGCGAGTCCGCGGGGGCTCGGTGGCCACCGGGAGCCGGAGCCCGGCGCTGGCCGTGGGGACGTGCCGGGACAGCGGGGACCCGTGGGATTCCTGCGCTGGGAACGAGCACCGGGGCAGCGGCAGGTGAGTGCAGGTGAGCCCCGGGCCAGCGGGACACACAGACAGGTCCTGGGACAGCGGGACACACGGACACACAGACAGGTCCTGGCACAGAGGGACACACGGACAGACAGGTCCTGGCACAGAAGGACACACGGACAGACAGGTCCTGGCGCAGAAGGACACACGGACACACAGACAGGTCCTGGCACAGCGGGACACACGGACACACAGACAGGTCCTGGGACAGCGGGACACACGGACACACAGACAGGTCCTGGCACAGAGGGACACACGGACACACAGACAGGTCCTGGCGCAGAAGGACACACAGACACACAGACAGGTCCTGGGACAGAGGGACACACGGACACACAGACAGGTCCTGGCACAGAGGGACACACGGACACACAGACAGTCCTGGCACAGAAGGACACACGGACAGACAGGTCGTGGTGCAGCCCGGGCCCTGGCCAGTGTCCCCCCTGCAGGTGAGCCCCGCGCTGCGCTCGCCCCGGGTGCCCGTGTGGCTGTGCAGCCTCTCGGGCAGGCTCGGCGTGCTCTTCGGCACCGACCGCCGGCTGCTCTCCGACTGGAAATCCGAGAGAATCTTCCACCTGTACTTCTGCAGCGGGCAGCAGGAGCAGACCCGAACTGCCCACCTGACCGTAGGTACGGACCCAGCTTTCCCGGGACTCAGCTATGGGTGGCACAGACAGCTGTCGTTCCTGTATTAAATACTCAGTAAAAATGTAAACACACCAGCAAGCAGGACTGTAAGTACTGACTCCTGAGTAATTCAAAATTTATAATAACCTCTCTAACTGTTGTGGTTTTACCCCATCCAGCCCCACACAGCTGCTCACTCACTCCCCCAGCAGCAGGATCAGGGAGAGATTGGAAAGGCAGAATTTAAAGAACTTGTGAGTTGAGATCAAGACAGGTTAGTAAGAAAAGCAAAAGCCACAGACACAAGCGAAGGAAAACAAAGAATTAATTCACTTCCTCCATGGGCAGGCAGGTGCTCAGCCATCTCCAGGAGAGCAGGGCCCCATCACACACAGCACTGACCTGGGAACACAAACACCACACTCTAAAGCCCCCCTCCCTTTCTTCCTTCTGCCCATTTATATCCTGAGCACGATGTCACACTCTGGAATATCCCTTGGATCATTTTGGTCCTCTGTGCTGGCTGTGTCTTCTCCCAGCCTGCCATGCACTCCCAGCTTCCTCCCCAGCACAGCAGCAGGAGGAACAGAAAAGGCCTTGGCTGTGCTGGCACTGCCCAGAAAAAACAAAATCGCCTCTGTCCAATCAATCCCGTGCTCAGCACAAACCCAAAACACAGCTCCATAGCAGACATTGGGAAGGCAAGGAATTCTAGCCCAGGCCAGACCTGCACACCAAGGCTGGCTCACAGCAGGGATGCCAGCCTGGCTCACTGAGGCTGAATTCTGCCCTCCTGCTCCTGCTCAGCACCAGGTGCCACCGTGGCCCCCGTGCTCCCCACCAAGTTTCATATCCCCCCAGGAGGGATAAACTGCTCCTGTAGCAACGCTTGGGTTGTGAACCAGATTTTCTACTTGGGGTGCAAGGTCCTCGTTCTTTTCTGTGTGCATCACTTACCTTCCTCACTGGGTGCCTCTTTCCTTGCTCTCCTTTCACTGCAGCATTTAAAGCAAAGTCAGAACCTTAAACTAAAGGGTGAATCTGCAGGGAAGCAGAATGGTTTGAGATCAACTGTCACGATATGTGGTGTGGCCACAGATCGTATCTGAGCATGTGCTCAGAAAAGCAATATGCAAACACACGGTGCAGGGAGCCCACAGCTGCACTTAGGGCACTGGAATTTCCCGGGGGGGCACGGTTCAGGGACAGTCCCCAGCCTGGGAGGCCCTGCTTGCCCCCAGCTCCCTGGGGCACAACAGCAGCCCATTGACACCAAGACAGCTGCAGAAGCTTCTGCTTTTAACCTTCACCGAAGCCTTTTTGAGTGGGGATGGGGTTTTAAGATTTTTTTGGACATTTATTTTTCATTTCCTCTTCAGACACTCATTCCCATCACTGGGAAGAGGCTCCAAGAGAAGGCCCCTGCAGCCCGGGGCAGAGGCGCCCAGCCCTGGAGATGGCAATCAGGACCAGGTGGGCAGGGGCCACGGTCAGCTGGAACGGGACAGAGCCCTTCTTCTGAGGAGAGAGCAGGATGGAGCCCTGCTCCTGGAGGGGACTGGCATCTGTCACACACAGCCAGCTGGTCACTGCAGGAGGACAAAAATCTCTGCCCAGTCAAACAGCCTCTGGTGCACTGAGGGGACAGCCTGTCCATAAGGCATCACACCCCTGCAAGGGCATGCAGAGGAACAGCGACCCTGCCCCACGGCACACCTTGTCCTGGTGGGAGGATGCAGGTTCTCCTGCTTCCCACCACAGCTGGCAGGAAAAGGAACGAGTCAAGCCCTGGCACAGCTGCCCACGGCAGTGCTGGAGTCTCCATCCCTGGAGGGCTTTGGGAACGTGGCCAAGGCAGTGCTGGGGTAATGGTTGGACTTGTTAGGTCTTAGAGAGCTTTTCCAACCCAAACTGCTCTGGGGTTCTGTGATTCAGTGATTTTACCGCCATTGCCAAATCCTGGCACCCTGCACTAGCCTGACAAGCACGGGCAGGGTACATTGCTTCCAGCTCACAGAATCCACCGTCCACTTCCTTTTTCGTTGTCATCACTCCAAAACGACCTGTAAGTCACACCCGTAGTGTGCTGCTAAGGACAGCTGAGAACAACAAAGCTTCTGCAAGTGATCCAGAAACTTGGTTCAAATTTACTGAATTTACTAACAATGAAAAAAAGCCGTGACACCCAGGCAGAGGTTATGCAGGGCCAGGATGAGGAGATGCCGGTCACAGCTGTGGGCTCTGCCCCTGCCGTTGCCCATTTCAGTTCCTGCTCCGTTCAGGGCACGCGGTGTCCCCACGGCGGAGCCGCCCCTGGGCGCCCGCAGCCCCGGTGACACCGGGAGAGGGGCCCCGGGGCTGCGGGGGACGGCACGGCCCGGTCCCGCTCTGTCCCAGTCTGTCTGTCTCCCTCTGTCCTGGTCCATCCCGATATGTCCCGGTCCGTCTGCCCCGCTCTGCCCCGGTCTGTCTCCGTCTGTCCCTCCCGCTCTATCCCGCTCTGTCCCGGTCCGTCCGTCCCGGTGTGATAAATGTGATTCGTGCTAATTAAATTGTAACTATATTAGCAAAATTGTATTTAGATCAATAAAAGACTATTGTTACCGAGTGA